AACTTTCGATATTCTTGTTGGACCATGGATAATATATAACTATACGAATCAAGTTGGCGTTGCAATATTTTATGGTCAGTCCAAGAATAAAATCCTTCTCCGTTGGAAACGCTTCAGCATTATTAACCTTTTTTTTTTTATATAATATTAGTTAGAATAACCTTTTTTTGTTTTTAATAGCTAAAATAACTATACTATTTTTTTATTGCTGAAATAACCTATTCTGAATTTTTATTTATTTTATAATACCAAAATTGTACTTCGCAGATTCTACCAAAATATTGGCAGACTCAACCGAGACATTGATAAACTAGCAGACTGTCTACCAACATTTTAGAAAAAATTTAAAGTGTCTACTAGAAAACCGCAGACTCTGTCGAGATATTGGTAGACTCTGCCGAGGTATTGGTAGACTCTACCGATGTATTGGTAGACTATGCCGAAACATTGGCAGACTCTGCCGAGAGAATGGCAGACACTGCTAAAATATTGGCAGACTCTGCCGAAACATTGGTAGATTCTACCGATGTATTGGCATGCTCTACCGATGTATTGGCAGACTCTACCGATAACTAAACATTTGCAGACTCTGCCAAAACATTAGCAGATTCTGCTAAAACATTGGCAGACTTTGCCGAGATATTAGTAGACTCTACCGAGATATTAGAAGAGTCTGCCAGTATCTAGAAAAGCGCAGAGTCTGCCAAAATATTAGTAGATTTTGTCGAGATATTGATAGATACTACCAGAAAACGCAGATTCTACCGATATATTGGCAGACTATAATAAAACGCAGACTCTGTCGAGGCATTGGCAGACTCTGCGGAAGCATTGGCAGACTCGGCCAAAAAAATGTAGAATTTACAAAAAAAAAAGTTATAATCTACGAAACATTGACATACTTCTTGAGTGTTTTGTATTTTGTTGATAATGGTTTTTTAAATTTTGTGTCTATTTTTTATTTAAAATGTTTGTAGTTGAAATTAAATATATTTTTAATGTTAATTAGTTAGTACGGACATTTTTGGTATTATGAAAGAAACAAAATGTAAAGTAGATTATTTGAACAATAAAATTTTTATAAAATTATCCTAATAATTTTTTTTTTAAAATGAGTTATTCTAGATAAATTTTTCTTATGATATTTGATGCGGTTATCACTTGTATATATCGTTTACCAATTAGAATAGTTACGTTAGCTAGGTATAAAATATTTTAGACCATTTTTAGACGTTTACTTACGACTCTTGATTATATACTTTTTGTATAATATAGTATAGTTTAGTACCCAAACCTTCACATGCAAGTTCTTTTTATTTTTGTTTTAAACCTTCACATGTGAGCTCTATAGTTTTACTCAATTGTACTCCCTTCGTCCCATATATAAGATATTTTGGTTGAATACGCGAGAATTAAGAAAACAAAAAGTATAAACAAAATATTATTTAATAATTAGTTATAAATATAATTTAATCAATCATATACAAATATGCAAAATTTAAAAAGTCA